ACAGTATCAAATGCAACATACAAGTCAGAGTTACTGTTGGATGAAGGCAAATAAGAATTGAAAAGAGCAATAATTTGGATGTTTGCTTATCAAGAAGAGCAACTTCAGAGGTACACTAGTAGTCAGATTATTAAGGAATTGTTAAACTAAATGCAAACCGGGCAGGGTGGTGGAAACTTGTCAGCTTCTTGGGAGGTTGAGGTAAGAGGATCATAAGTTTCAGACCCGCCTGGGCAACTTAATGAGACCCATTGTCAAAATAATAAAAAGGGATGGAGCCGGGGATTTAGCTCAGTGGTTCTGGCTCCTGCCTTGAAAGCACAAGGTCCCGAGTCTGATCCCTGGAACCAAAAAAAAAAAAGCTGAATAAAAAGGGATGGGGATGTAGTTCAGTGCTCCTCAAGTTTAGTCCCCAGTACCATAAGAAAGCAAGCAAGCAAAAAGAGGTGAGGATAGACAGCTTTTTGCAGTAAATATTTATTGAGCATCTACTATAAGCCAGACACTTTTATTTATTGGGCATAAAGCAGTGGAAACAATAAATAAAATTCCCACCCTTGGTGAATTTGTATATCTCACGGTAGGAGACAGTAGAGAAATGTCTGATAGTGTTATTACGAAGAAGAGTAAAACAAAGACGGTGGATGAAGGGATGAAGGGATGCTAGAGCATCAGGATCATGATCAGCAGCATCATGACCCCATCATCAAGGTGACATTTGAGACCTGAAAGAGGAAAGACAGGAAACCACATAGATGAGGAAGGGTCATCATAGGCAAAAGACTAGAAGCGTAGTGGCTCTGTGGTCGAGTTTGCCTGCTTTGTCTGAAGAACAGCAGAAGCCAGTGATTTTTGGAACACTGGAGAAGGAAGGGCGGGAGTAATAGAGGAAGCCAGAGCTTGTAGGTCTTTGTAGGGCATTTTAAAGACTTTGATTGTCTGAGCAAGTCAAAAAGTCATTGGAGACTTGAGCAAGTAAGTTTGGTGTTGTAGCTTGTATTTTAAAGAATCACTGGAACTTTTGTTTTGAGAACAGACTCTAAGGGCTGGGGTTCAGAGTGGAAGCAGGGAGACCAGTTAAGAGGCTGTTGTATATGGCCGTGGTGACACATACCTATAACCCCAGCTATGAGAGAGCCTGGGAGGCTGAGTCAGCATGATCCCAAGTTTGAGGCAGCCTGGGCAACTTAGACCCTGTTTCAAAATAAAAACAAAAAAGGGCTGAGGATGTGACTCAGTGGTAGAGCATTTACCCAGGGTTCTATTTTCAACCTCACCAAAAAGTAAATAAATAAACAAAGGTTATTTTAGCTGGGTGTGTGGTAGTTGGAGCTACCTGGGAGCTTGAGGGAAGACCACTTTAACCCATGAGTTTGAGACCAGCCTGGGCACCATGGTGGCACCTTCTCAAAAGAAAGAAGCTATTTGTAGTCATTGGAGTGAGAGGTAACAGTCAGACTAGGGCAGTAATGGTTGAAGGGACGAGTGAGTAGTTGTCTTCTCCTGGATTTCTTTTTCCCAGTGGGTCAAACCTGGGTCCTTATGCATGCTAGACAAATGCTCTACCACTGAACCATATCCTTGGCCTAGATTCTAGATATTTTTAGTTATAGTCAATAGGATTTGCCCATTGATTGAGTGTAATATAGTACATAGGACAAAGAAAGGAGTAAAGTTTCTCCAAGTTTCATTTTGTTTTGTCATGAGCAAATGGCAGTGTAGAATTACTAATTACTAAAATATAGGATTCTAGGGCCGGGGATTTAGCTCAGTGGTTCTGCCGCCTGCCTTGCAAGCCCAAGGACCCGAGTTCGATCCCCAGTACCAAAAGAAAAAAAAAAAAAAAGGATTCTGAGAGAAGAGCCACTTTTGTTGAAGGAAGATGTATGTCAGGAGCTCTGTTTTAGACTTGTTAAGCTGAGGAGACCTGCTAGCCATGTGCAGACAGGGAGAGGCAGTTAGATGCATGGCTCTGGAGGAGTGGGCAGAGTCACGACTGCAAGTGTGAATTTGAAAACCATTTTATACTTGGTATTTAAAACCATGAGAAAAAAACAAAACAAAACTATGAAACTTCATTAGGTCACCAAGGCAATGAATATAAAGATGAATAATGACTAATTAAGAAGGAGGAAAATTAGGAATTAGTGTCCTGGCAGCCAAATTAAGGGAGGTTTTAGGAAATAGTGGGGAAAGGTACAGAGTTCTGGACAGGAAGATAGAGATAACCAGGGTCCCTTTTCATACTTTTCCACAAAATTCTGCCCCAAAAGGCTTGCCTGTAACCCCAGCACTTTGGAGGCTGAGGCAGGAGGATTGGGAGTTTCAGGCCAGCCTGGGCTACATAGCGAGAGCTTGTCTCAAAGAAAAAAAAGTCTACCCCAAAGGACTGAAGAGTATGAGCAGATAAATACCAGATAGAACAGAATATTTCATCTCCTTTTGTCTTGCTCAGAATCAGAGTGGAAGGGCAAAACATGCTTGATAAGAAGCCTTTCACCAAAGCTAACGAAAGACCAGTCTCTCTTTCCCCACTACTTCTCTTAAAATCATGTAACACGATGGTATTTACTTCCCAACTGTGACATGTAAGTTCCATCTAAATAGAGGCGCTTGGGCTGGGGATTTAGCTCAGTGGTTCTGCTGCCTGCCTTGCAAGCACAAGACCCCGAGTTCGATCTCCTGTACCAAAAAAAAAAAAAAATAGAGGAGCTCCTGATCTTATTACTGATTGAAATGGAGATTGTGAATGAACCTTTTAAAAATTTATAGGTAATTTTTTCTTTTGCTAAGATAATTCAAGTGTTTTTTGGTTGGTTTTTGTTTTTGTTTACAGTACTAGGGATTAAACCCAGTTCCTCAAGCATGCTAGGCAAGCACTCTCCCACTCAGCAATATCCCTAGCCTTCCTAAAATTTTATTTGAAACAGGGTCTCACTAAATTGTCTAGGCTAACCTTGAACTTCTTTTTTTTTTTTTTTTTGGTACCAGGGATTGAATTCGGGACCTTTTGCTTGCCAGGTAGGCAGTGGAACCACTGAGCTAAATTCCCAGCCCTACCTCGAACTTCTGATCCTCATGCCTCAGCCTCCTAAGTAGCTGAGAGTATAGGCTTGTGCCACTGCCCAGCTTGGTTTTTTTGTTTTGTTTTGTCCTAGTGCTAGGGATGGAACCTAGGGCCTCAGACATACTAGTCAACTTTTTTTGCTAATATAAAGCAGTAGAACAAGTACATCAAATAAAAATAATACTAATAGCTTTTTAGCATTGTAAATTTGGCATAGTATTCTGCTTTACTTTTCATTACTATGTCTCATTTATTAGAGAGTTTTCTAGCTGGGTAGAATAGCACACATGTACTCCCAGCCACAACGGAGGCTGAGGCAGGAGGACTCTTTGAGCCTGAGAGTTTGAGACCAGCCTGGGAAACTGAAACTGTGTCTCAAAAAAAAGGAAAAGAACCTTTTCTGAATCTCCCTCCTGTAATTCAGTGTAAGGACTTGTTTTTACATTATTGCAGGTAGTATTGATACTGAGAAGACTTCTTCCTGTGTGTGTTTATCCAAATATCTAATGTCATTCTCATTGTATTTGAAAATAATAATGAAGAATACCTGTGAAAATTTGAAAGGCGTAAAGCTTTAGGAGTTGAAAGGACTTTAAGGAATATTCTATTTTAAATCATATTGTCGAGCAGGAGGCTGTGGACCACTGGTGAGGGTCAATGGCTAATGAAAAGGGACTTCTTCCTTCAAGCTCTTCAGACAGCGATTCTGACAGTGAAGCTGGCAAGCAGTTAAAGAGAAAAAAGCAGTTTGCTCCAGAACAACCTAGAAAGAAGCAAAAGGCCGCTGAGACTTCGAGAGCTCTGTCATCTCCTGAGCACAGCAGCAGCAGCAGTGAGAACAGCGTGTTCCCGAGTGGGGAAGCTGGGTATTTCATCCATGGGGTTTGTAAGGAAGGAGATAACTGTCGCTGCTCACATGACCTCTCTGACAGCCCCTACGGTGTAGTGTGCAAGTCTTTCCAACGAGGCTACTGTGTATATGGAGACCACTGCAGACGCGAGCACAGAAAGCCATTGAAACGGGAGGAAGCAGCTGCTACAGATCTAACTGCAGAACCATCCCTTGCCACTTCCTCAAGTTCCTCCATCACTGGACCACTCGTGGAGATGAATACAAGTGAAGCTGAGTCCAGAAATGCAAACTTCCCAGCCATAGGCCCAGGTTCCAAGGACTGGGCGAATGCCATTGAGTTCGTGCCTGGGCAGCCCTACCGCGGCCGCACTGCTCTTGCCTGCCCAGAGGCTGCTGTGCAGGGCTCAGTGCCCAAGGCTGAGTCTGAGAAGGAACCTGGTGTGATGGAGACCAAAAAGCAGCTCTGCACCTATGCCGCCATGGGAGAGTGCCGCAGTGGGGAGAGCTGTGTGTACCTGCATGGTGACACCTGCGACTTGTGTGGGCTGCAGGTCCTGCACCCGATGGATACAGTCCAGAGGTCCCAGCACATAAAATCTTGCATTGAGGCCCACGAGAAGGACATGGAGCTGTCATTTGCTGTGCAGCGCAGCAAGGACATGGCGTGTGACATCTGCATGGAGGTAGTGTATGAGAAAGCCAACCCCAGTGAGCGCCGCTTCGGCATCCTCTCCAACTGCAACCACACCTACTGTCTCAAGTGTATTCGCGAGTGGAGGAGTGCTAAGCAGTTTGACAGCGAGATCATAAAGGCCTGCCCTGAATGCCGCATCACATCTCACTTTGTCATTCCAAGTGAGTACTGGGTGGAGGAGAAAGAAGAGAAGCAGAAACTCATTCAGAAATATAAGGAGGCAATGAGCAACAAGGCGTGCAGGTATTTTGATGAAGGCCGTGGGAACTGCCTATTTGGAAGTAACTGTTTTTACAAGCATGCGTACCCTGATGGACCCTGATGGCCGTGGAGAGGAGCCACAGAGACAGAAAGGGCCAACATCAAGCAGATGCTGGGTGTGGAGCTAACTGAGAGCATGAGCGGAACTTGTTTCACGATGAGCTAGAAGACTTTCATGGCTTGGACCTGTAGCGGCTTTGTGTGGCTTGGGAACGAACGGCCTGCCGAGCCTCAGACAGTAACTGTGCCGTGTGGCAGTGCATCGCTGTCCTAGGCAGGCCTCTCAACTCCACATGTTGTCATGATCACTTACCAGGGCCCGCGCTCCACCCCACTTCCCCAAGAATGTGTCATCTCTGTTTCAAAAAGTTAGAAAAAAACTCGTCAAGTTAGAAAATAAGTAATAAAACATATTGTCTTCAGGGAGCAAATGTGATAATAGTGAGGGAAACAGTCTGCATCCCATGCTGTTTTTTTTTCTTCTGTTCCTAGAGTCTCATGAATTTTTGTGTATTTGATAGGTGTGAATAAGAAAGCATGAATTTTACCCTGATACACACCCCTGTCTGCAGAAAGTAAGACATTTATTTTCCAGTTGTTAAAGAATCAGGACTTTTTAACTTAGATCACGTTAGCATGGGAGTTAGAAGAGTTTTGGAAACACACTTCCTAAATCTTGATTTGAACTATATCATGTCTCATTTCTCTATTATTCAGAATTTAATATCAGAACTCATTCAAGCTGGGCATAGTGACACATGCCTGTAAGTAATTCCAGTACTTGGGAGACAGGCAGGAGGATTGCTGTGAGTTTGAGGCCAGCCTGAATTACATAGCAAGACCCTATCAGAAAAAAAAGTGCAAAACAAAACCATCCCCCAAACCAGCATTCATTCAATTTGGGTGGATTGGGCACAGGGCTAGTCAGTAGATTCTGAATCACAGAGAACAACCCATATCCACACATGGAACTTTTTATTTCTGGTTCTGCCACCTACTTAATGATATCTCATTATTCCTTAGTGCCACAGCTCTCATCCATAGCAACAGAAGTACTTCTTAGTTCCTACATTAACCTATTTCCCAGTATTGTTAAAAGGCGACCCCTTCTGAAAATATGAAACATTAAGTAAAACAGTATTTCTGTCATAAGCTTTTTTCTTTTAATTTGTGATGTTGGAGATTGAATCTGGGTCCTTATGCCTGCCAAATGTGCACTCTACCACTGAGCCCAAAAAGCTTTCAATTAATGAGAAAAATGTTGGTCTTTTTTCTTTATGCTGCTTAAGTCACCCTCACACTCCCAAAATGAGAATTGATCCCAGGGTCTTTCATGCATATGCTCTACCACTGAGGTACACTCCCAGCATGAGAATAAATGTTAATGTATCTATGTATTTCCTTACCTAGAAGGGAATGCATATATTAACTACATTCATTAACTGTGGCTCTGGGCTTCTGGTATAAAATTTTTCCACTCTGATGTCTGGTTTGTTATAAATTGCAGACAGCCAAACTGGATCGATTTTCACCCATTTCTCTACTTCTGTACCATTTGTTTTCTAATATTCATTGTGTTAGCCTAAGTCTTTTGTTTCCTAAAAGCAAACAGAAACTTACCCAGCCTGGATGAGAATCTTTTACCATTTTTATCATCTAGATCTAGTCCGCACAGTTCAAATCCCAGATCTTGATGTGCTTGTTTCCTTTATGTTTTATAGTACTAAATGTTCTCATTGTTATATGTGGTCTTACTTAGTTTACACAGTATTCTAGTTTTTTAAGTGATCTTTTAGTGTCTAACATGTATTTGGAATCCAGTTTTAAACCCTTGATACTACCTTGTAACATCAAACTTATGTATGTGAGGACCTTAATTACTGTATAAACACTTCAAGGATAAACCCCTTTGTATTTAAAAAATATATATATAATGTTTTATAAGTGTTCAGAGAATTTATTGAATACACCCTGTCTAATTTCCAGTAGACTAACAGTTGCCTCAAAACACGGTGTTGCCTCTAGCGTTAGTGGTCCCACCAGGTGGAAGGAAATGGCAGATTTGATGGATTCAACTCCCTTGCCTTCTATCAAAGATCACCTGGCCGTCCTCTGCCCTTCCCAGGAGCTTCTGGAATATTATCAAAAGAAGATGGCTGAGTGTGAGGCAGAAAATGAGGATCTCTTGAAGAAGCTAGAAATCTACAGAGAAGCTTGTGAAGGACAGGTAAAAAAGAGACTGGCTAGGTGTAGCACATAACTGGAGCCCTAGCTACTCGAAGCTGAGGTGGGAGGATACCTTGAGCCCACAAGTTCAAGACCTGTCCAACATGGTGATCTAAAAAAAAAGCAAGTACCAATAAATTTTTTGAAAAGGCGGAGATAAGGGCCAGGGATTTAGCTCAGTGGTGCTGCACCTGCTTTGCAAGTGCAAGGTCTTCAGTTCCATCCCCGGTACCGTGGGGGAAAAAAAGGCAGAGATAATGCATGCCTGTTGAGGACTCCTAAGTCTGCTTGTTAGAGAAGTCTTAAAGTGCCAGTGTGTATCATCAGATATTTTATAGTCGTATTTTTCGTTCCTCAGCCCAGATTGCTACTTTTCATGCCCCTCCTTAGATCATAGCCTCTCAAATTGCTGTACCTCTAAAACTGCTTTTTTCTGTGACAGTCTCACCTACCTGGCCCCAAACTCCTGGGCTTAAGTCCTGCCTCTCTCCTGAATAACTGGGATTACAAGCACATGCTTTTTCTACCTCTAAAATCTTAAACCTAGGCTGGGGTATAGCTTAGCGGCTGAGTGTTTGCCTAGCATGTGCAATGCCCTGGGTTCAATCCTCAGCACCACAAAGTAGTAGTAATAATAATAATATCTTAAATTCTAGAATCTCTCCATCTCTATTCTTCCATTACTTGACTAGCTTCATTGTTACCTCCCTGGCTTCCTGACTTCAGGTTCTCGTGCACATGTTAGTTTGTGACAACGTGACCTTCCTTTCTAACCTAAACCCTGTCAGGCTTTTCTTCAGTAATAACTACTACCTGCCATGACCTGTTATGTTTTGCTCCACCTGCATAGCAGAAAACCTAACTACAGCTGGATCCAATTCTCTGCCACCTGTTCTGGAGCAGTGTTTCTCAACCTTAGCATTACTGACATTGGTCTGGATAATTCCGTGTTTGGGGCACTGTATATGATAGGATGTTTAGTGGCTCCCCTGGTTTCTACCCACCAGGTATCAGTAGCACAACCCTACTTGTGACCATCAAGACTTTCCAGACATTACCCAATGTTTCTAGGGCAAGGGTGGGAAGGAATGGAGGTGTAAGTGTGTGTTCACACACTTGAGAACCACTGTGGTTAAGAAAGGCTACAGGTCACTAGAATGAGCTTCCTCAGTCACTGCACAGCAGTTGCTTGTGGATGCGTGGCCAGTGCCCCCTCCCATTCTCCCCTCCTCTCCTGTGCATCTTTATGCCTCACAACTGTGCCGTGCCTTCCCTACACTCTTCGAGCCCACAGACCCTTCTTGGCCCTCTTCCCTCAACAGGTAATTTACTTCACATTTCTCAGGAAATACTGGATCTTGTATATTAACTCTTTAGTAAATAAAATTATTTGCTATTTATATAATTCATATAAATAATTTTGGGGGGGTACTGGGGATCGAACCTCGGGTCTTTGCGCTTGTGCAGCAGGTGGCGAAACCACTGAGCTAAATCCCCGGCCCCTAAATAAATTTATTTATTTTTGGTGGTACTTGGGGTGGAGTCCTTTGCACTGAGCTACATCCCTATCTCTTTTTAAATTTTTCTTATTTTGAGACACCTTATTAAATTGCCCAGGCTGGGCTCAAACTTGCAATCCTCCTGCCTTAGTCTCCCACAGTCCTGGGTTTACAGGCACACCTGGCTTCCATAGACCTTTTTTTTTTTTTTCATTAGTTTTTTGAGACAGGATTTCGCTATTCAGGCTGGCCTTGAACGTACTGTGTAGCTTGGGCTGGCCTCAAACTTGTGGCAGTCGTCCTGCCTCAGCCTCAGGTGCTAGGATTATAGTCATGCACCCCCATACCCAGCCTCTGGCATCCTTAGTCTTGAGTATCAAAGTTCCTCCTATACTAGTATAGGAGTCTACTATAAGTAACCTCATTTAATATGTGCATTATCTTACTATACATGAGACCGTAACTTCCAAATAACTAACCCTAACTCACTTCAGCTCCAACTTAATATACCCCTGTCTGAACTAATCTTTTTCCTATCCTCCTCTCCTTTGACTGGCATATACCACTATCTTTTCCTCTCCTTCCATTTCTTTCCTTTTTTGTGTGTGAGACAGGGTCTCTAATTCAGGCTGGCCTTGAACTCACTATGTAGCCCAGGCTGGCCTGGAGCTATTAGTGATCCTCCTCATCTGGGATTGCAGGTGTGTGCCACCATGCCCAGCTTCCCCTCGATTCTTTTTTTTGGTACCAGGGATCAAACTTGTGAGGCAGGCATGGTGCCACTGAGCTAAATCCCCGGCTCTACCCCTCCATTTTTTTTATCCCTTAACTTTTTCTTGATTGTGAGTCTTAGTAAATGGTTTCATTGCTTACAGTTCTGCTTACTCCCCTGCTTCTAATCATTTGCTAAGTCCTATTGATTCTGCTTCCCAAATACTACTCAACCCATTCCCACATGTCTGCTGCTGATGCTAGTTCAGACCCTCATGTCTCACCTGAGCTATGTGTTACAGTATTTTCCTCACACTATCTCAGCCTCTTTAGTCTGCATCATACCTTTCACTACTGAAATACCTGTAGTTGTCCAAACATAAGAGACTTTAAGTGGGCATGGTTTCATATGCCTGTAATCCCAGAACCTTGGGAGGCTGAAGCAGGATGATTGCAAGTGACTTTAGTGAGATCCTGGCTCAAAAATTGAAAAAGAACTGTGGATATAGTTAGCTCAGTGTGAAGGCCCTGCTTGCAATCCTTAGTATTAAAGACAAAAAAAACCCCAAAGCCTCCAGAAGTTCATCTGTAAGGAGTTAATATTTTCTGTGAGAAAGGGAGCTAGAGATGGAGGGAAGAAAGAAGGAAAGGAAGGCAGAAGGAGTTAGAATTAAAATGTGTTATGTACATATACCAGTTCTCCACAATAAATGAATGCAATCATGTACAGCAAACGTGTAGTAATGTAATTTTAAAAAATGAAATCCATCTCTAACAGGCAGTTCAAAAAAGGCAAGTTCTTATATAGGAAGCAAACAGATGAAAAAGGCACAACAGGGCTTCCAGCCCAAGTCAGTCTAAAGAATGCAGAGAAAGAGAAAAGCCCTCCTGTGACACTGAGATAGATTCTATGAGGGAGTGATGAGTGTCCTAAAGAAAATTTATGAAGACAGATAATGATATGATGTGAATCATTAATAAAGCCTAGGTGGGATCAAGAGAGAAGCAAGCAAAAGAGACACAGAATTATTTTTGTGTTTTTGTTTGTTTTGAGACAAGATCTCCCTATGTAGTCTTGGGGATCCTTCTGGCTCAGCCTCTTGAGTGGTGGGAATACAGGCATACACCATCATGCCCAGCTGAGAGAGAAATGACACTTTAAGGGCTGGGGTGTAAGCATTTGGCCTAACATGAATGAGGCCTGGGGTTATATCCCCAGCACTGCAAAAATAAATAAAATAACATTTAAGAAATTTCTCTGAAGGGCCGGGCATTTATTTAGCTCAGTGGTTCTGCCTCCTGCCCTGCAAGTGCAAGGACCCGAGTTTGATCCCTGGTACCAAAAAAAAGATTTCTCTGAAAATAGTTTTGTTAGTACCCTGGTCACTGTGTTCAAGAAAGGGTTATATTGCATTCACATGTGAAATTAAAAAAGTCTTGCCTAACAAAAATGTCACCTTGGGTGTATTTTTGTTCAACTTGAAGAACTCAAAAGTAGTTGCTTGCCTTTAAATGACTGACAGCAGCTCTTACTAATCAATGTAAAAATAACTAAAACTTGAATTTTTGCATAAAATGCAAATTTGTACCTGTGCTTGAAATTTGCTGTAAAAAGATTGAATAGTTTTCTATAAGCAGCTTAAGCAATGCATTTGCCATGGATTAGTATGAACTAATTATCCAATCACAATTTTTTCTTTCTAGATTTAAATATACTTATGAATATAGAATTGAAACAAGCTCTAAAATTGACAATAGACAAACATGTTTGTATAGTACCACTTAGTAAGTTTTGCCAGGGATTGTCATGGCTTACAAAAGCAACCAAAAAGCAAAAATAATTAATTTGAAAATCCATCTATTCCTATGTTCGGTAAAATTAGTTGTTTTTTTTTAAAGAAGAATCATGTTGGAGCTGGAGAATCTAGGTCAGTAGAGCACCTGCCTCACCAGTCAGTCCGCAGCATCACACACAATAAAAAAAGAGTCCCTATTATCTATGATAGTGTTATTATCCAAAGATTGAAGCCATACAAACAAATTGATCTTCCCCTCTCCACACACACAATAAAAAAAGAGTCCCTATTATCTATGATAGTGTTATTATCCAAAGATTGAAGCCATACAAACAAATTGATCTTCCCCTCTCCTACACTCCTTTCACTTTTATTTTCTTTCTATTTATTGATTGATTGCAGTACTGGGAATTGAATCCAGGGCCTTCACCCTGAGCTACATCCCCATCCCTTTTGAGTTTTTGCTTTTTTTGAGGCAAGATCTCATTATGTAGCTCAGGCTGGTGTTGAACTCACTATGTAGCCCAGACTGGCTTCAAATTTACAATGATCCTCTTGCCTCAGTATTCCTAGTGCTGAGATTGCAGGTATGTGCCACCACATCTGGCTCTTTTTTTTTTTGGTACTGGAGATCGAACTCAGGACCTTGGCCTTGCAAGGCAGGCACAGCACCACTGAGCTAAATCCTTAGCCCCCAGCTCCTTTTTAGTTTTTATTTTGAGACAGAGTCTTCAGGTGGGACTCAAACTTGGAATCATTGTGCCTCAGCCTTCCAAGTGTTGAGATTAGAAGCATGTGCCACTACTCCAGCCACTTTTTTCTTTGTGAAAGCTTTTTAACTATCTTAAACATTTTTAACTGTACAGTTCAGTAGTGTTAAATATATTCACACTGTTGTGCAACGGATCTCCAGAACTTCTCTTACAAACTGGAACTCTATCCCATCAAACAAGTCCTCAGTACTCCCCCATCCTATAACAAGCATTTTATTGATT